TGTACCATGGACTGCTAGGAAAACAAACAGATTCATCCTAGAGAGGGTTAAACCAGGCTGCTCCTTGGAGGCAAGGGTTCTGGGGCTTCGTCTGACATACTTTGGACATGGTGCCAGGAGGGACGGGTCCTTGGAGAGGGACATCATGCTTGGGAGGGTGGAGGGACAGCGCAGGAGGGGAAGATCCTCTCTGTGAGATGGACTGATTCAGTGACTGGGGTAATCTGGATGGGTGTGTCAGAGGCAATGAGATTGGCACGGGATAGAGCAGGGTTTAGGGTTGTTTTTCATAGGGTCGCTATGAGTCGCAAATGACTCGACGGCGCATAACAACAACAACAACAACAACAACAATTCAAAGGCACTGTGTGGTCAAGGGAAAGGGGCACTTGGAAAGCCATGAGCTCCTCCTCCTCTTAACTCAAGAGGTAAAGCAGGGTTGTCACATCTGAATCCTAGAAAGCAGACAAGAGTAGGAGTGGTCTGAGGAATAATGACCTAGAGATAAAGAGTTGCACAGCCAACACCGAGGCTCACAGTTCAAATCCACCAGCAGCTCTGCAGGAAAAGGTGGGCGGTCTCCTTCCATGTGACTTACTGCCTCTAATAACCTGCTGGAGGACCACCCATGGGTCCGTTCTGACTCAACAGCACACAACCAGATGGCTTTTGTTATTCAAGCTGAGCAATGCACGGGCAAAACCGGCCCAGTTAAAGGGAACAGAAGCTGCAGTGGCAGAAAGATCCTGCCCCCTCCCTCCAGACTCAGCAGACCCGTGGGACACGACTGCACGGTGCCAGAGGACAATCTCCTGGGCTAGAATCTTCACAGGCAAGATGACCAGGCCCTTGTCCTGCAGGCTCTGCATTAGCACCAAGTACCAACCTTTCACTTAGTGACCCAGTACTTACCTGTGATAATACCAGAGTTCCTGATCGAAGACTTGCTGTAAAAATCCTTACAAATGGTCCGGGAGTCTAGAGTCCTTCTTAGGGTTTTCTAGGCACGGGACTCATCCAGAGTCCAGCTTCCACACATTCCCCTCCAACCACAGGCTATTCCTAGCTTTCTAAACCCAGTTCGTGACTGATTAAATATGTATATACTTTGTCACATAAATCAGCACGTACGATTTAGGGGGGAAAGCCTTAATTGCAATGAATATATGAAAAACATTAGAGGAGAACTATATAGCAAAAACTTTATCATAAAGGTGCGCATTAACTTGCTGCAGACTACAATTTTATAGTCCTACGTGCAGTTTCCTGAAATAGTTAAACGTTCATGGGAGGTGTGCGGTGACAGGGAAGGTAGGGAGGGCGGGGGGGCGGGAGGGGGTGAGGAGGTGGAGAGTTCTGTGAGCATTCTAGGGGAGATGCCAGGAGAGAAAGGTCTACACTTCAAATCCAAGGACTGACACTGCCAACAACTGTGACTTGCTGTGTGCGCTATTCCACATGTACAAATGGATGGCATGCGACGATGGTCAGACAG